TGTTATGATATCAAAAATAGTATCTCAGTTTATTGGCGAGGACGACTAACATGAGTCAATGAGGTGGAACATGGCTGATAAGGAGCGGACAGTGAAAAAATCTCCTTGGCTTTTTTAAAAGAAAAAACTCTCGCTCTTGGGGCAGAGTCAGACGGGGAGGGCATCATAGAGGTCACCGGGATCATCACTGAAGTGCGAAAGATGCGGCCAGATACTTCCTTGTTGATTGAAAAGTTCGCCGACAAGGTTGCGAAAACAGAAATATCCGCCAAGATCGTCGACAGTCCCCTGCGTGTCGAAACAAGAGAGGACACGTGGACTATGGCCGCAAAGTTCGACAGAACTGATCGTTTCGGGTTTGTTTATAGTCAAGTAGGGAAGACCGCGGAGACCTTTGCATGGGAATGGTGATGAGGGAGCGAAAGCGGTAGTTGTGCATAAATAAAATAGCATATGAAACAGATGTTACTAGCATGTAGCAAGTAGTATGATAATGTTGCATTTTAGCCGTCTCATTCATCAGTCTCAGGATTTTAGGTCGTCCCTGATATAACAAGTTACGGTACTAGAATATCGAAAGTCATATTCCTATTAACATTTTCAGGCGCCCCGTTGGCGACGGCCAGCTAGTATTGTAGCGCGTACTGCTATATGGAGCCAGCTTCCGCATAAAAACCTCTAGGGCATTCGGCATAACGACATCCAGAGGTAGAACATTCCCAAGTTCGACCACTCTTTTGACGAAAAAGAGAAGTTCGAGTGTCCAGCCTGGTCCCAGTCGCAAGTAATTTGAGAGGACGACTTCTAGAGTTCACTGTTGCTGCTACTTCGAAGAAATCTCCTGATAAGATAGAGCAGTCTTGGGCACGTAGCGTGCAGAATGTTAGTGTCAGGTCCCTCCGAAGTTGTCTGTAGCGCAAGGGAGAGTGATTGAGATTTTACAGCTTTGTTTTGTAGGACAGTAAACCCTGTCCAATGACAAGTGGAGGTGCACGTCTTTGAACCTTTTCGAGGATGTTGAGGCCTTTCGCGGCCCAGGGTCTTCAAGCTTGGATAGCGGACTCCATTTGCGGCCGCATGAAGGTTCCGAAGATTTTGGTGAAACTGTCATCATCAAAGGCCGAGAACGCCCGTTTGAAGAGGTACAAAATCGACATCCTACACTTGGCTACCTTTGCGCAATACAGGAAGGGTTTAAGCGAGGGCGCGAACCAGACTCCTAAGTCCTTCTGGCGTCTAATTCTTTCAATGGTATGCCATTTAGTCGGTAAACCGTACGATTTGAAGGGTTTATTTTGCCGACTCGCATGATATTGCACCTGCTCTCATTGCATGGCAAGAGTCAGTCCTTTGACCATTTTTGGATGCGAATTAGGTTTGCCTGCAAATGCTCTTCGTCAGCTGTGGTTCGAATGACGTGCCAAAGTTTGATAGCATCGGCAAACATGGCGACGCAATCGTTGAGATAAGGGTCAAGGACGGAACCTTGGGAAACAGCAACCTTGCTCTTCCGCTTGTCACTAATATGGATGGGTTACGAGCAGCCAATTAGGAATTTTTTATCCACGCCACAAACCTACCTCTTACTCCTATGCGGCTGAGTTTATATAGTAGGCGATGGTGTAACACACTATCTATCGCCTTTTTTAAGTCGATACAGACTGCGTGCACCCTATTCCCTCAATCGACTGACTCCGTCCACCGTTCTAAACGGTAAAACAAATTGGCAACGCAGGACCTACCTCTATGGAAACCATGATGGACATCGGTAAGCAGATGGTTATATACTTGGAACTGCATTAGTTGTTGCGTAATTATTTTTTCCACGATTCTGCCAGAAACAGAAGAGGGCTGACTGATCGATACTTTTTGCGGAGACTCGGCTTCCACCCTTATAGAGTGGCGTTATCTACGCGGATTTCCAATCTGCTGATAGACTTCCGGTCTCGAAGGATGTTTAGAGAGTGGTTTTTCCAACTCACCAGCGAACTCAATGAACATCTTGGCTGGTACTTCATCAAGACCCGTTGACTTAATTCATTTAGCCCTAACAATTCCTTAAGGACAATAGCCTCGGTGGATTAAACAGTCATGACTATGAATAGAAGCGAATATGCATGCCCCAGGTTCTTGTTGTAGAGAAGACGAAGACGCGATCTCTGGAACGATAGTTTTATTCTGAGCTTT